GAGATATTTTGTATTGCAAACGCGAGAAAGTCAAAGCTGCTGCTTTTTCGATGTATTAACTGTTTTTTCGAAAAAATATTTCGCAAGTAAAAGGAATGATATACATGTGTATCCCAGGTGGCTGCAAAGAATCGGTCAAATGAAAGTTCTTTGAATTATGTTGAAAACGTGACACTCATAAATAATATTGATCGAAAAAGTATTTTGTTCTACCCAGTAAAATTAATGATAAAATGGAATATAATTCTTAAAATGTAATATAATTGTTAAAACGTAACGTTAATTGTAACGTTGTTGTTAAAATGTAATGTTAATTATATTATAATATATAATTGTTAATAGAACTTGATATATTAATAAGTCATAATTTTTTCTTTACTTCATTCAAGATAGAGATTTAACTTATATTTTTCTATATGCATAAAAATGTCTACTCTATTGTAATATCATTCTTTTAACACAATAATATTTATCAAAAATTCGATCAACTCATACGTATCACATCATTGACAGATACTTCACTGGTCAAGCCTGATAGTCAATCGATCGATTAAAGTTGACAGACTGTCGACTTTAATATTGATCGAATGTTTAAACAATGTTAATACCTTACTGCTCTTCAAAGATACGTGCGTGAAATGAGCACACAGTACGTGTGAAATTGACTGCGTTCAGCAGAAGAAACTATAATCAATTAGCGCTTAGTGATCTTTAATATGATTGGTTTCTGCAATTAGATCCAACAAAGAACTAAAGGCAAGGACCAATCATAGTAAAGAATCACTAAGCTCTACCTGAATTTTCTCAATTGAACGCAGTCATTAATTTTTTGATAATAAAACATTTTAAATTATGAATCGACAAACATTATGCAAAGTAAAAATAACAAATGAACAATTTCGAGAATCAGTAAATAATTAATGTCTATCAGAGAAAAATATTAACAATTTTTGTATTTAAATAATATTTTGTTTAGCAATTAATTGTAATAAACCAGGAAAAAAGAGTCGTGCACACGATTCTGTACATAAGTGGTGCGTTGCTCGTTAAAAAAATGATACTCTATTTCAAAGACCGACTTCTTCTTCGAGAGAGAAAATTCTCAGAGAATTCCTCAGTACTCTGGTAATTGAGAAACAGCCATCGGCTATCGTAAAACGTAACGTAGAAAAATACGCAGTGCCCGCAGCAGTTTCGTAGGAAGGCCTTTTCCGTTCGACCGAAAATAACTCACGATCGGTAGGCGATCGGTACGACGGGAGGAGAAGAATTTGAGGACGAGGAAAGGTCCAGAGGCTTGAAATCTAGTCCTCCTGAGAAAATATTTCGCACGAGACCGGCGATAAATCGAATGACTTATTACTACTAGTCGCGTAATCTCGGACTCATTCCGAAGAAATGTGTTATGCCATCGAAAATAGATATGTCGCGGACCAGATCCATTCAAAAACACGGCCATGAATTTTACATCAGCGCGTCAGGCTAAAGCTAACAGATTCTGAATCGAAATTAAATCGGGCCGAGGAAGCCGACGAAGAAAGAAGAAGCTGCCCATCATTCTCCACTTATTGCACTGATTGATTTACGACTGACACAATGAAACAAAGACGAGTGAAGCAATAATCGATCAATAAGAATCGCAGCATATTGGTATAACGAAAAATATGTAAAATAAATTTTATCACTATTTAATTTACAAATAATTTACAGATAATTTACAAAATCACTAAACAGAGATAAAAACAAAGATACTTTACGAGTTAATTGATTGTAATGCAGATAATTACAGTTATTTTTCAATTCGATGTGATTTTATAACAGTTAGTTATGTAATAATCAGCATTCGCGATACGTAATGTATTATTGATAGAATATTTTAAATTTTGATACATTTAATGCATTCACGCACACACACACACACACATTTTTGTATATTAAAATTTGATGTAGAGAAATAATGATAGAAAAGGTAATTTTTACAGATACACTGTAAAAATTTGTCAAAGCACTTAATACTGAGGGATTGCTTGGACCAAACAAATTTTATCATTTTGCTGGACGACCTTTAACACATGAACGATGACGGCGAAGGGATATTAATGTCGCGGCTTCATCTCAACGAACCAATAAATTCCGACTTTAAATCTGGCGGTTTAACTTTAGTGTTGCTGAACGATCACGCGAGTTCAATCGTCGCACGATATTTCGTTTCAAAATGTTTATCGCGAAACTTTGGTATTCCCGCTAACATATGATTCCATATATTTTCTCATTTGAGTGAAGCCACCTTTAACTTTCTAAATGTATTCGTTGTACTTTAACCGTAAATCAAGTCAAAAAAGAAAAAGTTTCAGTGTTAATATAACATATATCACTTTATTAAAAGAGATATAAATATATGTATATCCTTCTTCCTTTCATTTTTCTTCCTTTTTTTGTTTCCATTACATTATATATAATATACAATACTTAATTTATAAATATAAATACTTTAAAGATTCCAAAATCGAATAAAGAAAGCCTGGAAAAAATTAGAATGCAGAGTTAATTAATGTTCGAATTTTTTAACATCTTCTGTATTTGGTCTTCTGCTTTATAATTTTAGTTTTGCAATTTCAGTACCAATTTCAACAATTTTGGCAAAAAAACTTTTCTCGAAAATCGCAACAAGTTTCTAACGATCAAAACCTGTTTCTGCCAAGATTAACGTTATAAAATTGTCCTGGAAGAAGCTAACCGCCAGCCATGTTGAAACTTTGCTATAGCTGCTCGCGACATGTCGATGTTTTTCCGAGAGTTTCTCAAATCGTGCGATTTAATCTAACCGAGTCCTCTACACGACTGTAAAACTTCGGTGACCGAACGAAATGTAGTTTTGTCGCGGTTGGGCGCCGATGCGCTGTGATGGCAGGTCGCACCGCGGTTACAGTGATTCTATTATACGTTGTACTGTTACTGAACGTGTCATCCGTAATTATGATTGACGAACCGATTTATTATACGCGTATGCGCGTCACTCTTAGCGTAATCAGTTACGCATAAATCATATAAACATCATACTATCCATATACATGTATGTAAATTGCGTATATAGCTGACGAGATACGTATATACGAGTAGGATACAGTCATTATTTTAGAGATGAAGCCCAGATAAAGCTAAATACCTAAGTTAGCATATGACAGCAATTAGCAAGTCACTATTAATGCTATTAAAGATATATCAAGTGCACAGCCTCTGCAAAAAATGACAGAAATTTATACTTTTCGTGTAAAAATAAATGTTATATACCTACACGTGAAACAGTTCAATAAAATCAATATTTATATTTAACAGAGTACAATTTTATAGTTTGAACGAACATTTTTTTACTTTATCTGAATTATTTTCTTCAAACTTGTTTACCTATTAAAATAATTTTTTATCTAAATTCTAAATCGCCTCAAACTTTTCATACTATTTTCAAATACAATATAGAAAAATTTGTCACTCTTCCACATCTTTTTATTATGCTAAAAATATGTGTAATACTATAATTATTATAATTATATCTGATGTGACTAACTTTATTGATGTGTGTCAATTTCTTACTGTATTTAACACGTCGATCGACTAGAAATGTCTGTGGCAAAGATGGTTTATAATATAAGTCGCGGGAGTGTCGTTCGTTAAATTATGTACTCGTCTAAAGTTATTTTCGGACTTCTATATTAGGACGGAATAGTCGAACGAAGTGACACGAGTTGATAGAAGTCGCCGCGTACCAGAAATCTCTTTAATGCAAGCGTCCTTGAATACTAATAGACGAGAATATGTTATATACATCTTGATTTCATAATAATTTTATAGTAATATTAAAAAATTTGCAAGAAAACGATTATTATAGATTAAAAAAGTATGCAATTTTACATTCCAATTGTAAATAATAAAGATAAAAATCAAATGCATTGTCCAAATCAACTTAAGAATATACGAGTCATTTAAAACATTATCAAAAATCCTACTATTATTGTGTCTGTGTATAAAATTTGAGCACAATTTCCTTATTAGTTAAAAGTTATTTAATTTTTTGTTTGTATTGATTTTTATGTAAAATCGCATTTTAATTGCAAAATCGAACAAGTAACATAAGGATTTAATTAAACTGTATATTTATACTAATCTCAGATAATAATAAATATTTGTGCAAAAATTTATTTAAATCCACTTACTCGTTTAATAGTTATTAATCTAAAACTGCATAAAAATATGGCTATTTTGCTGCATAAAACCATTATAAACCAAATTATTTGTTTCGTTATTTGTAGTTGGTTTCAGAGCATATTCACAAGCTAATACAGATTTTTTGAGTGTGATATTGGGTAATATTAGCTTTTTTGGGCTGATTGTTTGATTATGATATTTAGATAACTAGACTCATATTTTTTGTTAGAAAATAAGTATTTGAATAAAAAATTTAGATTTGTATTCGCGTAAAATATTCAAGATGAGCGGATAGCCTTTATATAAAAACCTTGCCATTAATAATAACTACTACGCTGAGAAAAACGTCTGGTTAAAAATAAACGAACCAGAAGATTCTGATTACATCAATTCCGGCTATCTCATAAGTAGAATTTAACAGAATTAATAAAAAAAATTCTAATTCGAACATTTTTTAACCAGAGTTCCAATTAATCCAACCAGACATTTTTTTCAGTGTAACATTCATTGTAACATTTGATTTTTCAGTACCTAGTCGAAACATTTGTGTCACATTATATTATATCATTATGATATCATATCTTTCAATCGATAGATATAAAGGCCTTCTTTATTCGAATTATTGAGAGTTCATGGTTCCCTCTCTCGTCAATACCTTCAAGTCGTTCGAAGAAATATCGTTCGTGCTCTTTCGTTTCAGAAATGGCTTAGACGAGCGATAAAGAAAATCATAACGCGAGTAATGTCGCGTACAATCTCGCCGTAAAATATCGAAAAGTGCGTCTCGGCGAGCTTACCTTGAGGTAGGACGGTGAGCAAGAGGACTATTTGGAGACCGGCGACGATCGTATTATAAAACTTTATTCGCAACTGCGGTAGACCTCTTGCCTGGTGCGCCATGGCAGATGAATTTTGCAGGCTCAGGTCGAGACGCGACACCGACTTGCCGATGTTCATCTATCCGGTCCCGACGTGCCCCGTCGTGACCGTGATGCACTGCACAATTTTGCGTGTTCACTTCTACACGCAGCGATCACCGCCGCGAGTATCGCCCGGAAGCGCTTTGTCACCCGCTGCGTCACTGATTATCATCATCGTGCAGGGTGTCACGAGTCGAGTTCAATTCCGCACGAATCGTCCGCTAATCGATACTCGATGCCCTCGCTAACGCACCCCCCGACTTCGCCGTCATAACCAAGCGTTCTTCCGCGCGCCTCGGATGTGCGTATTTCGCGAGGTCTCGATCGCTCAAAGGTGGCAGCGGTTTATCGTTTGCAGAGAGGACGCGCTACGTTCGCGCGACGGTGCTTCCCAACGTTTCGAGCATTCTCACGGGGGATCCTGAAAATAATGATTTCATACGTGTGAACGACCCCTTCGCACCCACTTTCCATCGTGTGCAGCAGCATCGTTTCATGGCATACATTTGCGGTATCTTTTGAATTCACCGAGATCGCTTTCAGTTGTTAATGCGGGCTGAAATACTCACTGGCGAATCCTAATTACATCTTCTTAATCATGCGTTAGTTATAAGCTTGAATTTCGTGGCTAAAGAATCACGCACCATCCAAGATTTTACGCACAAGTCACAAGATATAGTTATTCCAGTGATATAAAGTATATCACTTGTGTTAGATTTTTTAATATGCTACTTAAACAAAAAATATTCGAGATTTTATTTCTATTTTAAATGCTATAATTCATTTTTTAATACTACAACTCAGACTTTTAATAAAACGTTAATTCAATATTAAATTTAAAAATAATGTAAATTTTTTCCAAAATTTACATATAGGACGATTTTGAGAAAAATGTTTGAAGCATGTTTCATAAATATAAATTAAAATTATGCGCAAAGTTTCTACAGTTCAAACACTATTTGCTACAAGATAGTGAAATGATGCTCATTTGAATGTTACTGTCATCTATTGCGATACTTCTTTCTGATATGTAACGGTTGCGAATGTCGTTACTGGCATCGAAAACTTAGGTGATTTACAAGCAGGGCGTTTGATTTACTATTTCATTATCAGCAAGAAGAGATTTCTTGTATTCCCCTTGGAAAAACGTGCTGCGACTGGAAATGATCGGTTTCTTCAAACCTCGATATCGTAAATTTTTCATTTTCTTCGATCGAAAGAATTATTAACACAATTGAAACATATGCAGACTCATATAAATCAATCCTTGTGAACTAGAACAATCTTTTATAATCGAATAAATCATTAATATTATTACGAGGAAAAAAATATAAAAGAGCCCAATTAGATTCGCGCGCGACGTAACATATATTCAATTATATTCAATATATATAATTAAATTAAAGTATAGAAATTAAACAGAATTTCTAAAGACAAAAATGTTGTAATGTATATATATTGTATATAATATATACAATTTTATATTATCGAGAAAAATGGAATATATTGCTATATCTTGTTGTATATAAAAAATATTTTTGTTTAAATAAATAAAAATATGTTGGAAATATAAAAAAAAATGTAAATTAATAATCTTGCTTGATTATCTCGAGCTTTAAAAAATACGATACGGCGCGAGAGGGCATTATAGTTCTATATTCTCGCGCATTTACTTTACCATGCGATATCACCAAATTACGCTATTAAAAAACATTTTCATATTTCGTTGTAACAGTAGGCGAATTAATTAGCAACCCTTTCCACACACAACCGATCAGCCACACATTGATTACGAGTCCAGTATTACGATGACCTATTTATCGGAGGGAGTGCATTAAATGGCACGCCATTACCGCGGTTTCTGCCTATCGACACAGGTAGCAATTTTTCCATTGTCTCGCACGCCTCAGAGAATCAACAATGGCGCGAGTTTTAATCTTACAGGAAATGCGTCTGTGGAGTTTTGACGCTGCTACTAGTTTACTACACGAGAACGTACCCAAGACTATAATATACGATATCTTGCACGCGGTATCGATCGTTTATCAATTACGTTATGTCGCACGGATTTGGCATGCAGGCCGTAAACGGTACTCTCGTCGATACGACGAAGCAGATCTTGCCTCTAAATTTACGAGAGCCCGCGCCCGGTTTACAGGTGTCCGTGGCGACTATACGCTTCCTCATTCGATACCGAATGCTGCCGTTCTCCCCCACGCGGCGGCGTCCATCGTTACGAGTACTCTCACCCCGTTCTCATCCGACACTGGGGCTCACTTCGTTATTTGCTGACACCCACCACGTCGACGGTTCGATCAAAATTTCCGGTTGCAAACGGCGAAATGACATACGCAGCTACGCTCGACATTCGTGCAAATTTGTAGATAATAAAAAGATTTTTTTTTTTTTTTTCAAATACGAAATAGGATTCGCCAGAAGAGTTCACAGAGCAGAAATGATTTTGTCTACACCGATAACTGATGCTCGATGAAGCCAAAGACTAAATCTGTAATACCGCGAACGACGCCGCGGTTATTTTTCGCGATTAGCTCCTCAAGCCGCAAGCACGCTGCCGCGAGATTTCAGACCAATGTATGCGCGCGCGCTCTCACACACACACACACACACACACGCACGCACACACTCTCTCTCTCTCTCTCTCTCCCTCGGCGAGCTTCGAGAGGGGCGCGGGTGTGCTATCGCGACTCCTGGCAGAGCACCACGGACCTGCGTTCGCGGCCTGGCCGGCGATCGTCTTCCTCGTCTCACTACCGTCCACCGCACGTTCCATCCTCCCGCGGAACAGCACCACCACCTCCGCCGCCTTCGCTGCCTCCTACTTCAGCGGAGCGCAACACGGTGTTGCCTGGTATCTAGGCAACTTCGCGGAGCGTGGCTGCTCCCTCTGCCAGCAGCCCGTTCCACATATAGGCAACGAATTCGCCGTTCTCTTTGCCGTTCTTGCTCGCGCGCGCGGTTTCAGTTTTCTTCTCTTTCTGTAATTTCTGCCCTATATTCTCGTATATCCTTTCCCCTCTCGTCGCACTCGTTTCCCTCAACACGGATCACGCGTTCGCGCGAATATACATTCTCGTATATCCGTGTTCACCACCGCCGCTCTTCCTGTCCTGTTGCGGCTGTTCCTCCTTTTTCTCCGCACTCCCATCCGCCTTGTCCTCGTCGTTCTGCTTGTGCTACTCGCTTCGAGCCTTTATCCGTAATTGCTCTCTCATCCGGCACCTCCTGCGTGTACGATTCTATCTCGCATCGTGGGCACCGCAGGTTCAACACGAACGAGATGCGAACACGAGTAATCCGTAATGATATCGGCGACTGTGACGACGAGCACGAAGATGAAGAGAGAGACGTGTAACCCTCCCGTGTAAGCCGCACGCACAGAGTGTACGCCGCCAAGTTTGGCCGCGAACGTGGCAACTCGCGTTATTAGACTGAAACAGCGGTTGGCGAAAGGGAAGACCAGGAATGGAGAAAAAGAGGCGATGGAAAATAAGAAAGAGACAGATAGAGAGATAAAACGAGAGAGAGAGAGAGAGAGAGAGAGAGGGATTGGACACACTGGGGATGGAGAAAACCGCCTCGTCCCTGCGAACGGGTGTCCGAACCGGAAACCGAAACCCCTGAAAAAGGAGGCGGTCGGGGTCGTGTACGAGCTGCCGGTCGAGCTCTCGCGACTCGCAGCCACCGCCGCGATATAGACGCGAGGAGCGCTCCCCACGATGGCCATAACCCTCCTCCGCCACTTCCACCACCGGAGAATCCACCCTCTCCAACGCCCCTACCCTCCCGTGGCCACCTCCAGTTCCCACTACGATTTCGCGGGAGGCTGCGGACTGGACCAGCACGCAACCAGCGTGATCCCCACCACGTCGCCAGAGTACCAGGATAGTAGACTTGGGGGTGCGATGACGCGGGGAGGGGGAGACATCGCGGGGCTCGAGGGGGCGCGAGAAGGCGGGTGAGTACGGCGGTCCGGGGGTGGAGAGGAGAGGAGCCGGAGGACAGCATCCCCGAAGCCCACCCCACAGATCAATATTGTGCCCACCACCGTGTACCGGAGAACTTGCCTCATCTCTCTCGCATAACCGTAGCGCGCCACATGTCTCATCTCTCTTACCCCTAACCGCCCCCTTGCGAACTCCCGTAGCTCACGGCCGTTGCCGTGTATTGCGCACTCTCTCTCTCTCTCTCTCTCCCCTTTCTTTCTCTATCCTCCCCTCCCTCCCGTTCTCTCTCCTCCACCGTGCCCCTTCTTCACCTATATTCTCGCCTTCCCTCTCAAGGGTAAGCGCGCGCGAGGGTGTACGTTGATTCTATCGCGAACCGTCGCAAACGATGCTGGTCCAAGTCCGCTAAGGGGGATTAGCCTCGGCGGTCGAGATCCCAGGGACGGCATAGTTTCGACGCACCTTACGGTGTCGACACGAAAGATAAGTAGAGCGCGAGTAGATGTCGGGATTGACAGATGAATCGATTGTTTTCCAAGTTGCTGAGAAAATGCGTGTTTAAGTTGAGGTCGACCAGATGGATGGTTGATGGATGAGCAAAATGTTACTTTATACGTATACGTGTATATTCTCATGTTTCGTATGGTCATTGTTTGTCAATTAAAAGTTTTTATGACGAAAGAAGATTTAGTCATCTTTTTTGCAATTCTTAAGTATAAAATGATATAATAGATTTGAAAAGTGTTATCAACTTGACGAATACTCTTTTACAGTTTTCCTTTTTAATTCTAAAAATTTAGTAAAAAATATTTTACGTAGACATTTTTTTAATATTGATTAAAAAATGTAATTTACTCTATTACACTTACAACGTACATTGTATACTATGTTATAATTATCCATTAAAAATGATTAACATGAATATTTTAGTATGTCAATTTTTTACTTAATATAATTGTTAGATAGAGAATGTGTTACAATTACACACATACATTGTTGAGTGAGAAATTATAATATTGATGTAATATCATTGTAGTGTTTATAATATATGTATGCTGCAATATAATATATGTAATATAATATACTACAATATAATGTAATATTATCTTAGTGTATTATAAATATGTTTTTTAAAAATTGAATAACAAATATGCTATTTAAAATAATGATCACAAAATTTACTGTTGATTAATCTATTTAACTTAATATTGCTTGAATGATGAGAATTGAATGTAATACAATACAATAATACAGACAATTCTCTTACCAACAGTTGTTTGCTGACAAGTTTGCAGAAAACTTGCAAAAGGCGCTTCAGTCACGGACGGAATTTGTAATTGGATAAAAACAGTTAATGCTTATTTCAATAATTTTTCTTCGAAAAATTGTTGTATTATTTATCAAAAGTTACTTGATAAGAAGTAGATGTATAAATTTATTTTTATGATCTCATCCAAAAGTAATATTTTTGAAAAACTATTGCTGATAATGTAGCTCTTTCTTCAAAACACCTTCCTAACAAACACCTACATTACCAAAGTATGAAAATGCAGTGCATCCGCATGCTTTACAGTCGATAACGTCAATCTTTATACTGTCAAACACTCGACAACATTTCTCTCAAGAGTATTTTAGTCGAGAAAAGAGATTTCTTTAATGTGGAGTTTCAAGCGTGACGAGAGAAAGAAAAACATGAATACTCATATTTTCTTACAAAAGATATCTTTGATATATACGACAATGTAAATAAAAATTTAATTCCAATCCTATACGATTAGAACCATTTCTGCAATAATTGTCTTTAATATTTCTTTTTTATTCGCGTAATATTATATTTCGATGTATCATTTTTTAGAACGTAGCACGGTTTTAATTCAGATTATTTTAGAACCGACTAATTTGATATAAAATAGTTGCAACAATTAGAAATACGATGAATGCCTAAACAATAAAACTTATTTATTCATCAATGTTACTCATTGATTTTACGTAATAATAGCATATGGTCTGAATAAATTACATTAATAATTAATATCTATATAACTATATCTAATAACACTGATTAAAGTTCTCATTACACAATGGAACTGCAATTAACAATTTGTAATCAGCCATAAATAACAAACTTAGGTAAGTACATACAATCTAATCATTAGATATATAGTATTTTCATAACTATTCTACAATTACAACTAATAATGAAACAATATATGTATTACTTTATTCGTATTATATAAAGTCAAAATATTCTACGTGAACTATGACACAACAGTATAATGTACTTAATGGGACATTATCGTTATAAGTGTCCACGAACGAGTAACGGAGTAGTAAGAAAGTGAAGAGAAGGGAGAGGGAAGATATTCAGGGATTCAACATTTTCCTTCATATATACGAGGTCGTTTACTCATTGTTATAACTTCCTTAGAAGCCATTACAAAGACGCGCGCTCCTCCATTCTAAGATAATTCGGCTGACACAAAGCACACAGCTACCTAAAGTTCACGAAGGGAAGAGGGAGCGGGCAATTTGCCATACGCTACATTAAATTTCACAAAAGCGGAAAGCGCTTGCCACGCTAACGTAAACACTGATCAAAACTGTGTTTCTATGTAGAACGTGTTAGGCATCGCATTTGTACTCGTACCATTTAGAGCGACATCGAATACAATTATCTACCTACTCAGTATGCTAATTATCGTAAGACGCCGGACGAGGTAATATATCGTCATCGTGCAGCCCGTGCCGTTCCGAGATCGTGTCGAGGTTGAGATTCTCCTTCTCGCTTCCCAGCGAAACAATGCGCTCATAAATTCGCACGCACCGACAAATTAATCGCGGACGAAAATCATTGAGATGCAAATTTTTGCATACTTCAACTTCCAACCTTATCTCCTCCATTGTCCGAGAAGCAGAAATGAGTTATTGAAACGACTAATTGTCTAATGGCTGAGAGACACCCATAAATATTGACGGCAAAAAGAGAGATTTCGATATGGCACATCTATTAAAAAATAGTGAAAGCACGTATACGAATCTGTTGATTCGTCTCGGTGATTATCACGCTACGACCGGCAAGTGAGTCTTTTGCGGGATTAGTTCAGAATGGTCAAGGCTACGCCTGAGACGGACGAACGGACGCGAAGAATGAGCGATGTTTTGTAGAAAGCAGGTATACAAGCAGGAAGGGAAAGGTTGCACCTGGCAAGCCCAAGATAGAATCCAAACTCACGCCTCGCAGGCGCGTCTCTCTTTCCACAAGGGCCGGCCCGCCCTCCCCATCCTACCCTCCACGGTCCATTCCTTACAGCCGGCCATCCGTCCCTCTTTGAGAATCAGCCTGCTGGCCGTGCACTCGCCCAAAATAACAGAAATTGTGGAGAAATCAACGTTCCCTATGGACCGTCCTTGCGGACCATTGTGGCGCCTCGAGGAGCAACGGCGGTTCCTCCTCGTCGAAATGGAAAACGTTATTGTGCGTCGTCGAGTTTTCGCTTCTTTGGATCGCATTGCCCAAGGGTGGTTTGACTTCTGCGCCCTTTTCAATCTCATTGCACTTTAATGCCGATTGCACGAGGCACCAGGTGTCACGACAGTATCCCCTGACGTATCCCTCGCTCGTTCGCTTGATCGCTCGCTTGCCCGCGCTATCGTCGCTCGTGGACTTTTATTTACGATGCGCGACGAATCCGATGCGGAACGCTCGGTTAAATGCACGCCGGGACAAAGTTCTCTCGTGTGTGCTCGAGGGGGTGAAGCAAAACCGCTAGCGATCGACCCGGGGTTTTCTCTCCCCGAACTTTGGGGTCAAACATTCGACGCTGGAAACGTCTATTTGGGTCACTCGGTTTGCGAACAGATCACTCGAAACTTTTGCGCAATTGACGTATCCGGGACAGAATGTGTGTGATCTGTGCAAATATGTGTTTTCCAAGCTATACCTCGAATGAACGGAAATGTTAACGCCTTCGCTTATCCAGTTCGAACGTCTAACCACGAGTCTGTGTATGATTTTGTAGTCGATACCATCTGTTAAAATGGAAATAAAACTTCGAAACTTTGAATGTGGCAATACCATGATATATGTATAGAAAACGAAACATGGCATACAAAATTATTTTTCATTTAAATACACGTATTTTTATCTTGTCTAACAAATAATGTCCTAGGTAGCTTAAAAGGTATTTTAAAGATAAATTATTTAACGAATAGAGTTTATATTTTTTCTAGCAAGATGTTAAGAGAGATCACCGTATCGATACTATCCAATTTGAAATTTCATTCCTTGGTAAGTAAACTTTAACTAGAATTCCTCTTAAAATAACATTTCAAAGAGAAATCAACTGTGAGAAATAAAAAAATTTATCATTTATTTATATAATATTTAAACTGTAAAAAGTACACAATGTACTAATAATATTATAATGATACATCTTTTCATAAGAGCTTATTTAAAAGAACGTTTCGTAATAATAATAAAAAAAATAAATAAAATTGATTAATTGAGAGGAAGAGAAAAATAAATGGATTAAAAATCTGTTGCAAAATGTTGCAGTATTAGTCATCAAAGTCAAAGTGGGTTACTTTTTTGAGTTAATCAGTGTTACAATCAGCTGACTTCTTGCTCACGAGATGATAAATTATTTCGCTAACCTCACTATGTATATGCTTGACCGACTTCGATTAGTATAGAAATGGAATATGATTAACTTTAAACTCTTTTATATCAGGGACGTTTACGAGCGGTGCGAAAATGTACGAGGAAGGGTGTTAATCGCATTTATTCTTGTCTTACTAACTCCTTTCAGCTGTCGCGTGTCACAGCGATAAAGTTTACGGGGGGTAGAACACCCCGCATACATTCAGCTCTCTGCAAAATTATGCACTATGTCGATGCAGATCCGTCACGACAGGGTTATTTTTATTGATTGCCAAGACTTTTCGGTCACGCGAAAGACGCAACATCGACCAATTTCACCGTGAAGATTTACATTCGCAATCCAATAATTAACTAATGTCAATTATCTCCCCTACATTTCATATCGAATGACATTTCGAAGGCATTTTGTACGTTTCAATCAAACAGAATTAAAAGTGTGTCATCACGAGTCGATCATCACAGATTGTACGCAAGTAGGATATATTATTTAGTTCGACCGTGTAATTATTGTCAAGTCATTTAATAATCACATCCATCCGATTCGCTTCAATCGTGATCGTTTCTTTACATATAGTACATATATATCTCTATATGTACATTAAAATGCGTAGAACGTGTTCGAGCTAACATAAATGCTTCCTCAATCTCGCTAATTATAAGACTTGAGATGAAAAGAGTAGGCTCCTATGAACCACCTCGAGTCTGATGACAAGTGACGAAGAAAAGTATTCATTAAGAGAGCATGCATTTTTTTTTTTGTTTTTACTGTTCCTCACAATGAGTTACGAA